GGGAAGAAAAACTCACTCACTTGGATCAGTTATGTGCCCCGCTTTCTGCTGCAATAGTCAGCATTTCCTCTGGACAGAAATGCTCGCCTGGCCTCAGCACCAGGTGTCTTGATGGGGAAATGTGTGTGCATGTAGGTGTGTGGGTGTTACCCAGGGGTCCTGGGTCTAGGGGGCTGGAGAGTAGAAATTAATTGTAAAAAAGAGCCTTAAAAGGTAATCAAGAGCTTTTCTTTCCCCTCTTTGACATCTCCCTCATCCAGTCCTGGGCTCTGTTTGCTTCCCATAGTGGGAAGAAATAGATGCCTCTTAGCACCACAGGGCCCAAAGCAACTGGAGGGAGAGAGGTGGGAGTCAAGATGCTGGGTTGGGCAAATGAAAGTACCCTTTGGAGCTAATTAGAGGCAGGTATTCAGATTCCCCATCTAGCTTTTGAATAGTTTTTCTGATAATAAAAAAGTAAAACTATTTATTGAGCAACTACATGTTTGTTAGATGCCTGTTAATAAGATTTTTAGGCATTTGTTCCAAATAACTAACTTTACATACATTAACTCAATGTGCACATTTACCCATGAAGTTGGTATTATTTCCAGTTTACAGCTGAGAAAACTGAGACTGGGAGAGGCAACTGGCCCAGGATGACAGCTGGTGTTAGAGCAGCGATTCAAACACTGGTCAGTCTGACTCCACAGCCAAGCCAAAGAAAGGCCGTTTCTTAGCTACTGCACTAAACCACCTCCCACTTGGTATTTCTCAATACTTAATTCCACTGAATACACAGCAGATCAATGAGTACTTACTATTCCCAATCAAATTGGCTCCTAAAAATATAGAAGATTGATTTAATGGATGTGTATAAAAAGCATTTTATTTTCAAAACAGAGGATATACCTCTTTTTCTATTACCTATGGAATATTCATGAAAGTTGATCATGTTTTACCAAAAAGAAAATCTCAATAAATTTCCTAAAGCAAAAAAATATTCGGGGCATATTTTTTACTACAGTGCAGTACAATTAGCAAATGGTTACCAAAAAATACAACAATAAGCAAGTGTAAAAAACAAACAAACACCACTTTCTAAAAGAAAATTTAAAATAAACAATAAATGTTAGAAGCGAATGGCAAAGATAACTGCAAATGGAAACACAGACTGACATGGAAGGTATATCAGAAGAAAATTCATAGTCCAAAATGCTTTTCTTACTGAACAAGAAAGAATGCAGATTAGTAAAATAAACACTGAATCTAAGAATGGGAGGTGGAGAACAAAATAAACATAAGCAAGTGAGAAAGAGCATATTTTATAAAAACATAGTAGAAATTAATGCCTTAGAAAAATCATAAAAATGATGAATCACAGGGGTAGTCCTTAAAAGAACAATAAAATGTACCAGCTTCTGCAGAGCTAATCAAGAATAGAGAAGTCTTGAACGCAGAACATGAAGAATGAGAAATGCAGTAACAAAAATGCAGAGACTTTATTTAAATCATCAAATTACTGTATGTAACACTTTATTAATGGTTCTGAAAATATCAAAGTAGCAAAATTGCCTTAAGAGATAGGACACTTCAAGGAACAAAACCTACCTAAAAGGATTTACTAGTAAATTCTATTAATGAGCGAATTGCCCAGCCAGCATGGCTCAGTGGTTGAGCATCGGCCTGGGAAGTGGGGGGGGGGGGGGGGGGGGGGGTGTCACTGTTCAATTCCTGGTCAAAACATATGCCCAGTGTGGGGTGTGCAGGAGGCAGCCAATCAGTGATTCTCTCTCATCGTTGATGTTTTTTTTCTCTCTCTCTCTCTCCCTTCCTCTCTGAAATAAATAAAAATATATTTTAAAAAATAAACCAGCTAGTTCGTGTGATTAATAAATTGATGATACAGACACAATCGGTGCAGAGAAGGAATGGATAGATGGGTCAGTGGAGAGAAGCACTGGGGCCTGGACAGGCAGAACTGGAGAATGTAAAGGGGCTAAGAATGAGGCGGGAGGAAGGGAGTTTTAAGACTGGATGACCTCCCGCCAAACGACCATGGCCCACAACCTTCTGGGCTGACAGAATCCCCTCTGAAAGCCTCAGGTTTGGTCCTCCCTGAAGCTGACAGGCCGTGCACACAGGACTAGAGGTCCAGTGTTCACAGGCTCCTCCAGACAGATCAATTAAGCCAGGAAAGCCAGATCCTGACAATGCCCAAGCCCTCCTAGGATCTGCCCTTCCCTCCCCAGGAGCCCGCAGGTGCAGTGTCTCCAGGGGGCAGTGAGAGCCATGAATAGTAAGGGTTTTAGCTCAAGCACACTGAGGCATTTAGCTGCCCGGACCTAATCCCCAATAATCGGATTATGTAAATTCCTACTTCAACCCCATCCCTTGCAGGACCCAGCCCCTGAGCTCTCCACACTGGGAGACAGGATGGAGAGGACCCATCACTCTGAAGAGTCACTGCTAGTGGAATGGTGCATCAGAATCGTTCCCCACGTTAAAAACTGTGAAACCAGCGATCATATGAAAGACAGTGAGCAAAACAAATGTCAGCTGTGGTTCCAAGGTGCCAACGTAACTGTGCTCCTTTCTCTGTAGCTCTCATCCTCTCTCTCAGTCCTTATCCAGCTGTACACAGATCTTATTTCATAGCTTTTTGTTTCAGTTCGAATCCGATCTTGCTACTCAGTTGCCACAATCCATTTTTTTTTTTTACAGCTGTAGACTATGCCATTAAGAACCTATATTACCTCACAGGTGTTTGGCTAACATGAAAGGTAATATGTGTTTTTGGTGCAAATTCTACCTAGAGCCCTGGCAGAGCTATGATACAGTAGGCAGGTGGGAAAGCATGGACACCGCGAGGCAGTGCCCTCCACAGCACAGAGAAGGCAGAGGCAGAAAGAGGATGGCTCGGCGGTGTTTACTGCACATGGTAGGTTATAAAGGGCCTTTTGTGCCGATGGACAAAGTGACTGGTTAATTCTCTCCAACCTCCCTTCCAATCCATTCTTTGCCACCAGAATGAGCTCTGTAGCCAGTGTAAACCTAAACATACGACTCCCGTGTTCGAGGCACACGGTTGCCTCCACATGGACTGCCCTCTCCCCCACTCCTACACGTGTACTTCCTGGTTAGCCTTCCCACCCAGCCTTGGGTTCTGTGCCCATTTTCCACCTTCTCTAGACCACACTCTGTGCATTCGGGACCTCTGAGTTTCTGCTCAAATGGCCCTAATTTTGTTTTGAGAGCCTGCACAGGGCTCTTCCTGAGACCCGTGTGAGCTGAGAGCCCGCATCACACACACACGGCCTTTTACAGAACTGGAGGGGAGGGAAAAATGGGGCTGAGGATGGGTCAGGAATCTGCATTTGTACCCTTGTCCCGAGTCCCACAAATGTCAGGCTTCCTAGAGGCAGCCCTGCCGAAAGGCCTAGCTTAAATGCCACCCCCTCCCACAAGCCATTTCTGATCGTCCAGCTATTTATCTTTTGCCATCGACACCCCTACAGTGCTAAATTCATTGCCTGCTTGTTTTCCTCATGTAATGCTTACATGCCTATCATTGTCCCCATTTTAGAGACGAGGAAACAGAGGCAGGGAGAAGTTACATAATTCGCCTGGGATCACACAAGTGGGTATACCAGGGGTTTCAACCCGGGTATGCAACTTCAAAGTCCTGTGTTCTTATCTACTACACTGTGGTGTATTTGTGCATTGTGTCAAATCCTATGCTAGGTCATTCAGAGAGGGTGATGGCTAGAAATTCATTACTAATCCATTTCATTAACCAACCAACATTTGATGAATGTCTTTTCACTAGGACTGGGCAGGAGACAGCAAGACAAAGATGTATAATATTACTAAATGAAAATGAGTGACAAGGAGAAGAATATAGCAGGGCAGGAAAATGAAGAGTACTTGTGGGTGTGAAGGTGCAATTTCAGATATTGCTGTCAGAGAGGAAACCTTCCCTGAGAAGGTGGCATTGGAGCAAAGACCTGAGAAATGACAACTCCTTGAGCGCAGGAACGTGTCTGTTTTGTTTGAAGCTGTATTCGCACTGGCCCATGGGAGGCACTCCATAGTAATTTGTTGGGTGAATGAAGGGAAGTGATGGAGGAAGCTATGTGGATAACATGGGGGAGAATGTTGTAGGCAGAGAAAACAGTGCAAAGGCCCTGAGGCAGGGGCGTATGTGGTGTGTTCCTCAAACAACAAAGGCCAGAGTGGCTAGAGCTGAGAAAACACAGAAGAGAAGGAGCAGGTAGAAGCTGTCTTCAGAGCCACTATGAAGACCTGAGTTTGAGTCTCAACGAAATGTAGAGACACCCAAGGGTTTGAGCAGAGAAGTGATGGAATCGGACTTGAGTTTTCACAGCATCATTCTGGGTGACGCTGGACGGTAGACGGAAAGAAGCAAGTGCAGAAGCAGAAAGGCCACTGTGATAGCCAGGTCCTGTGCTGGGCACTGGAAACTGACGAATATACCTGGGAATCTGTCCAGGGCAGTGACTACCTTCGTTGTGCTCCTTACTCTCTTTCGGCGCTTAGTAAAAAACTCGAATTTCAGCTCCCATCCCCAGAACACCTGGTCTGGTGAGTCTGGATTGCGGTTGTTAAGATCTGCCTGCCCTCAAGCCTTGATTCCGGGGCAAGTGGTCCTATGAGCGCAGCTGGAGACGCGCTGGAACTTAAATAGTTCACATCTGATGCATTAACCACCGGGCACGCATTCCCGCGGCTGTGGGCGTTGGAGAGGGGGGGTAAGCTGCACGCAGGGCCTCCAGCTGCGGCCCAGGTGAGGGGCAGGACCCCTCCTGCCCTGAGCTTTCACAGAGCGGGGTTCTCCTTCCGCCTCTACCCCCTTTCCAGGGCACAGAGAGGGCTGGTCCTGGGAAGCGGGGGGCACGGGGAGTGGGGCGGGGCCGGCGCGATCCCCGGGAGGGAAGGGGCCCGTGGGCCTCGCTAACAAAGGGCGGTGTCCTATAAAGGCGGCGGCGGGCGGGCGGCGGGCGAGGGCGCGCACGGCCAGCGACGGTGCGGGTTCCTGGCTCTTGGCGAGGAGGTGAGTGAACTCCGGGTGCAGGGGTGCTCGCGGGAGATGGGCGCGGGGGGCGGGGGGTTCGTGGGCCAGCGGGTCTCCGCAGCCCCGGAGGCCAGTCCCAGCCGCACTCGTCCGGAGGGCAGGAGTGTGGAGGCGACTGGGTAGCAGCCACCAAGTCAACTGGGTGAGAAGACCTGGGGCTCTGGGCAGGGCCGGGCGGTGGCGGGGAGCGTGCAGGCGGGGCGGCTTTGCTTGGATACGCGATGCCGGGGACAGACACCCCAGAGCACCCAGGTAGCTCATGTGCAGAGGCGAGCGGCTCCCGGACACCTGGCAGGTGCGGAACTTTAACAGGACAGGCTTTCCTGGACGCCGGAACCACTGACTCGCGAGGCAGGGCTGCAGGCTGGGGGAGCAAAGGTTATAAATAGAAAAGGGGGGAGGCTGGGAAGTGCAGCGGGCAAGGGCAGCAGGTTGGGCGGGGCGCGCATTGAGTGACGGGTGTTGAGCGCACCTTGGAACAGGTGGCTCTCCCGGTGCCCACCTGAGGCTGGCATTCACAGTAAATGAACTTATTTAGAGCATCAACATGCGGAGTTGTCTAATGGGAGTAGTAACCTGCATAATCATATGTATTCTGGTTTTTATATTACGTGTAAAGGTTATAAACAGTGTATATGTGCACGCCAAACTGGCTACTGCTGTGGAAAGAGATTAGAGAGGTAGGTAGGTAGGTAGGTAGGTAGGTAGGGAGACTGCCATTTATCTTATTTTATTTCTTTATTTTGCCTTATGAACTTGTGTACTGCTTGATCATTTTCCTTAAATGAGCATATATTACTTCTACAAACATTTCCAAAGGCAAATTTTAAATTATATAATTTATGTCTATGCATAAATTATGCTAATAAATCTAATGTGTATAAAGCAAAGTACATGCGCTATTATATACGTCTGTGCCTGATGTTGGAGGTTGGGCATCTCCCACAAAGGCAACTCTATGGACCACCCTTCATCTCTTTCACTTACTGTCAGGAGAAAGATAAAAATAAGAGGCAGATACAGGACCAAGGGCCAGGAGGAGAAGTGTAAAGTCTCAGGGAAGAAGAGCCCTAAGTGTCTGAATGCCTGGACAGGCCACCGTGGGCGTGTTGGCCGGGTGCCTTGTCGCATATTTTCTGCGTGACCTGGGCTGTGTGATCTGGGCTGTGTGTCCCAGAACCACCAGCATGAAAAGAAGCAACTCCTATTTTGGACATTAGTCACCTTCTCTGGGGGCACAATTGCAGTCACTCTTTTCTCTGGTGACCTGCTACCGTCAGTGGTGACAATATAAACACAGGTTTGTTTTCTATGATCTTCCTCCTCCCAGGCATTCCTGGCGGGGTCCATTCAGGGGTGTGTATATAGAATTCGGGGGTTCTATATATTTAGTTGGGAAAAAGTTACATCTTTCTTTCCACTAACCTTTCGTCTAAATGTAACCTCTCCTTTGCTGATGCATGGGGGCAGTAAACTGCAGTGGTATTAGCAGTAATCATAGATACTTTCATGTTACAGAGGTTGCACATCTTTTGAAAAACATCATTTACATATCACTATGCATAAATTATGCTAATAAATCTAATCTGTTATAAAGCAAAGCACATGCATTATTATATATAAATGTAAAATTATTTTAATAACTATTTGATGGGTCGATGTATTTTAAGTGATGCACTTAAAATCATTATTCTGAGAAGAGAACCAAAAGCTTTTTACTTTATGTATTGAAAATAATTATTCTGAGACGGCTCCCTCAGACTGCCAGAAGTTTCCATGGCACAGAAAAAGGTTATGCATCTGGACCCAGCAGGAGTCAGTGGTGACACAAATGCATAAACACCCAGGCTTGGGACACAGCCTCTGCCACTGATTCCCTGTGTGACCTGGGACAAAATTCTCCACCCCAGTTTGATCCTGTGGCATCTGGCATATTTTTTTTAAAGCTTTTAGCTTATTCTGAAATCAAGATTAGCAGCAGTCAGTCCTCACAACTAGAAAAAGACTAAATAAAATTTAAAAATTTTGAATTAAATGTATTGGGGTGGCATTGGTTCATGTGTACAGTTTCGTGATACATTATCTGTATATTGCATTGTGTGGTTACCACCCAAATCAGGGCTTTTGTAATTTTCCTGTGACCTCTTCTTTGAGTTTTTCCAGCTTGTTAAATCGTTGATTTGTATTTCCCCCTATGGAGAAGGAGGGGGACACACTTGAGGATAAATCCACAAGTAATTATGCAGCACCTCCTGGGATGGCAAGCCTCGTTTCAGAAGCTTGTCTCCCTCTGCTTCTGGCACAATAGAATGGAGCCCTCTTAGGAGAGAACACCAGTTAGTTTATCCTGCCTAATCTCTTTCTTGCCCACTTTGAAAAGAACCCCCATGGGCCTGAGTTGACTTAGTGAATGAGCTAAACCCTCTTTTGACAAGAGAAGCTTGAAAATAACTTTGTTCCCATAGTCCTGGCTAAGCAGCCAGCCTTGCCAGGAGAAAACATGACGGGTTTCTTTCTATCTTAAAATCCTCCTGATTTAGGTTCAAGCTTTCAGTTTTGGGTACAGGTGGGCACAGTTCTGACAACACTCATATTTTCATGGTGGAACCAACGGCCAGGGTGTTTAGAAGTGGCTTAGTTAGATCATTGGCAGTACGTGGGTGTCGTGGTATTTCAGAACAGAAAGTGGGGGTCGGCTGGTCCACCCCTTTAGTTGGAAGGATACGTGGGCTGCCTGGAAGCCCCCCGAGTGCCTGGTTCAGTGCTGTTTCTCTGCTTCAGCAGTCCCTGCGCCTCCCTCTCCATGTCACTCAGGCAGTGGCTGGCTCCTCCGTGTCCAGCTGCCAGCACAGTATCTGGCACCTAGTGTCGGTGACTGCTGATGCCAAAGCTTGGAGGGCATAGGATTGTAACTGGACCATGGGTCCACATGGGAGTGTCTCTGCAGAGCGAGGACATGGACCTACGTGGCTGGTGGAGAGAGCCTGAAGTCTGCCATGCGCTGCCGGGGTTTCATTCACCACCAGGTTCCCGGCCCAGCACTGGACTCTCCAACCCGGACAGAGCAGGAACGGCAACCAGAACCTGGCTGGGACATGTCCCAGGCGTGTACAGATGATTAACAAACGCCAGGCTCTGGAGGAATGACACTTCTCATCTGTATAGGGAGGAGAGCCCTCGTGTTAATATTAAGTGCCTGTGTGCTAGGCACATGGTGTCTCGCTGATATCCTTATATACTTCATAGAGGATCTCACAACAAACTGAGGATGGCTTTATTTCCGTTTTCCAGAAAAGAAAACTGAGGCTTAAAGAAGTTAACGGATTTTCTCAGAGTCATTAACTAGGGAATTGGGAGCTGAGATTCAAAGCCAGGTCTTTCTACATTAAAACCCATAAACTTCCTTAGTTTTTTTCTATTGTGAGGCAAATAATATATGAATACTTTATTATAAAAAGTGTAAAATACCAAAGTATACAGAATAAAACCCACAAGTCTCCTTTTTCTATCTCCCCCCAACCCACCCTCCTCCCCCTGAGGAAGTCCTGTTGACGATTTGGCCTGAATCCTTCCAGGTATTTAGCTCTGTATCTACACACGCTCGCACGCACACACATATATTTATACACTCTTATACAGTGAAATAAACACATATATAAATAAAGCTATTGTAGCTGTTTCATTAGGAAAAAATAAATTACAATGAACATTTTCTTTTCTCTGTTTTATTGGTAGGGATCATTGTAATCGTTTAACATTTATTGAACACTTACTGTGTGCCAGACATTGCCCTAAGGTATCATTTTATGTGGCCTCACAGTAGCCCTTCACTTGTGAGGCATTTGAAGCACAGAGAGGTTAAGCGATTGCTCAAGGTCACACAGCTAGGAGGCGTAGAGGCAGTAGCCAAGCCAGGGTCTGGCTCTGGAGCCTGTGCTTTTAACCATCACACAGAGGCCTCCACCGCTGTCTGACTCCTACAGAGTCAGGGCTTGGTGGTATCAGAGTGCTTGTCCCAATGAGCTGGGATCGTCCTCATTTGGTTCCTATGAAGCGTACTGTATAGTGGGATAACTTCTGGAACATGTCTCCCTCCCTAGGCCACCCCAGCAATGTCTACAGCACTCTTCCCGCAACCAGCGCTGTTTACATGTGAGCGTAGCATGGGTTAGAACACAGAAACAGTGCCTGGCGCAAGGCAAGTGCTCTGTTTGCTCTAGTTTTTCCTTTCTGTGTAGTTCACAGGTTGCCTTCATATGCGGTATTTCATTTATTCCCTGCAACAACCCTGGGCAGAGAGAATGGTACCGTTAACCTACCTGGTAGCGGAGGAACTGAGGCCCATGGACTGACAGGGAGTGCCCCAGGGCTGGTTAGTGTTTGGTGCTGTGACCAGAACACCGCCCGGTGAGGGAAAGAGTGGCGCTCCCCTTCTGTTTTGTCCTGCTGTGTCTTCCTCTATGATGGCAGGTGTCTGATATGTGAATACACTGCTTCCTTATTAAGCATAGTTTTGCAAGGCATCAGTGCTCCGATTCAGAGAATAGAGCATTGGCTCTCAACGTTGACCACACACTGAGTTCACATGGATGTACATGGCTTGGCTCTCACATTAAGGAAGACCTTGAGTTGTATTTGCATTGACTGCAGTTAGCGACAGCCTTCAGCTGCAGGTCCTCGTTCTGTATTTTGAATTTAATTTTAAAAGGTCAATAAAAGGGACCTTCCTTATAAAAAAAAAAAAGGTCCGTCACTTGCAACTATAGACGCTTATGGCGTACAGCTGGTTAAGGATTGGACAGCAGGCTTGGTTATAGAAGAACAAGATATCACCCTCAAGAATAATTCAATACCCCACAAGTCATTTTACTGATAAATATATTATTTTGTTGTATGTGGTCATCAACACTTTTATAGTAATTACTGTGTGTCAGGCACTGTGATCAGTGATTTACAAATATTTCATTCTCCTAAGAGCCTTTGCTTACCACCACGGGCTGAAGGACTTCAGTGAGGAGAGAGTATGGGGGGCTCTGGGATGGAATGGATGGCTTCATAGAAAGGGAGGATTTGAGCTGCTTTTTAAAGAATGTGTAGAAATAGGCAAGGAGAGTGCGGAAGGAATTCAAAGCACAGAGAAAGGCAGGTGTAGAGGAGTGGAGTTGGAATATTTGTTACTCTCTGTGGGAACAGGAATGGCCAGCCGATGGCAGTGAGCCAAGAGCACCCAACTGTCGAGGTCTGAGCTTTGGCTAGTTTGCTGATGCATCAAAACGTTCCCACTGATGCATGTCAATCCAAATCACGTGAAAAAAGGGGTCATGTTTCTAAGAGTTAAAAATGGCACAGTAATTTTTGGCCATATGTGAGGATAATCACTCCCCCTGGGTTGGAGAGGTCACAGAAATGGAGCCTTGGGGAGGCCTGCATACCTTCTACAGCATCCATGCCAAATCATCACCCCCATATGCTCCTGGCCTTTCTTCTTTTGTCACCCTAAATACCCCCACTTCTGTTCTTCATACAACAGGCTTTCAAGACTCTTCAGCACCCTGTTCACCCTCCTCTAAATGTGGTCCACTCTGGATATTTTAGTTCTTATGCTGTGGGGTCCAATCCTCCAGGGGAGGGCTGCCAGCTAAGAGCAGAGATGCATTCTATTTTCATCATCCCAAATATTGTATTATTCATGAAACATAGGACCACAGCTTTTTAAAAAAAGAATCCATATTTAACTTCCTATTGACTAAATATATATTTTATTATTCAATCCTATGCATGTATTATTCAGTTCTATGTTGTACCTGACTCCAAAAAGTTAGGAAGAGTACATTATAGAAGAAGCAATGGGGTTATTGGGATAAAATAACCTTTAAAACAGCCAGGGAGAAAAAGGCCAAAGGGTGTTGTTCTTATCTTGCCTTTTCTTCTGCCACGTTTTCCTCCCTTCTCAAAAGGAGGATTAAAAAAAACCTGAAAATGAGGAAATGAATTTCCTAAAATCTGGGTCAAGAAGATCAAACATCTCACGTTTTTGGCAGAATGCGTGCTACCCACCAGGCCTCTTACAAGGTGCTGGCCCTCGGGGCCCTTTTTCTTTCCCTGGCCAGGACCTCAGACATGACCGGGAAGATCTTCACCAACACCAGGGAGCGGTGGAGGCAGCAGAATGTGAACAGCGCCTTCGCCAGGCTGAGGAAGCTCATCCCCACGCACCCTCCCGACAAGAAGCTGAGCAAGAATGAAACGCTTCGCCTGGCAATGAGGTATATCAACTTCTTGGTCAAGGTCTTGGGGGAGCAAAGCCTGCAGCAAACGGGAGTGGCAGCCCCGGGCAACATTCTGGGACTCTTCCCCCAAGGACCCCCCCTGCCCGACAGGACCCTGCTCAGTGACTACCAGGTTCCTTCACCTGGCCCAAGCCACCGCGTCCCTTAGTGCAGCTCTGACTCTCATCACCCAGGGAGACACTTGTTCAGAAGTCACTGGCCATCGACAGCCTTCCGCATGTTACAGAGTCACCTTGATGAATAATTTGTGAGGCAGGAATTTAAGTGTCACAGGAGGTGGCTCAGGGACAGCTGCCAGGAGCCGACTGGAGGCCATGAGGAATGTGGCTTTGGAATGCGGCCTGTTTCTGTCTATTTCATATGTCCAACATCTACGTGAGATGTCGTCTGAAGAAAAAACAATTACTCAATATGTTTTCAGTTATAAGCAAGATGAGTCGAAACGCACATTTCAGATGAGTAAAAAATGCTCCCCTCCGAACATTTTTAAAATATATATATTTTTATTGATTTTAGAGAAGAAGCGAGAGGGAGAGATAGAAACATCAATGATGAGAGAGAATCATTGACTGGCTGCCTCCTGCACGCAGGATCAAGCCTGCAACCCAGGCATGTGACCTTGACCAGAATCAAACCTGGGACCCTTCAGTCCACAGGCCAATGCTCTATCCACTGAGCCAAACCAGCTAGGGCCCTCAGAACATACTTTAAAGTTTCTTTTGAAAAATGTAGCATGTTTGATCAAGGGGGAACAAAACAAGTCTTCAAGTTGGCTCTTGCAAGAAAATAATCCTAGAGGCTTGTGAGAAAATCTGTAGAGAAAAGACCCTCCTGACATGGGAGGATTACAGGAATGCAACAGACACCTATGGGAGAGCTCTGCATCCTTTATCGCTACAGAAGTGGGAGGTGTTACTGCCATGAGCCATTCCCATATATGTTATCTCCAAAGCCAAATGGTGGGCTATATTTGTGAGAGGCAAGGACTTGATCATTTATGAATTAGAATTCCTAGTTTTCTTGTGAAAAACAGCTGAAATAGGTTCTCTAACCCCTCAGTTTCACATGTCAGGTATTAATACTTCTAATTCAGCCTGAGTTCCTGCTGATTTAAGAACCGTAAAATTCAAATATAATTATGAAAATCCAAACATTACCATTTAACGACTCATTTAACAGAGAGCTTAGTTTAAACAAAAGATTAAAGCAGACAATAGGACTGTAATACCAGACTCTAATGAATTAATGAATTTGAAATTTGTCTTCCCAGCTATGGAGCATTAGCTCAGTCTTATGTTGGGAGGGGTGGTACCCCCACAGGCCAATGGAACAGTGGATTTGGCATAACTCATCACCACTTGCCAACCTGATGATGCTTGGATTCAGAGATGAACCCCATAACTGAGCCCAGAATACAAATGATGTCATTTGATTGTCTCTGGGACATTTTATTTCCCCAAAGTTCTTGATGGTACATTGGTTTTAAAACCTTCTGAACCACCAGTAGGAAATTGATGGATTTGCAATTACGGCTTTCCAGTGTATACACAACAGAGGAGTTAAAATTTCCTGCCACTCTGGAAGGAAGATATTTGACTTATGAAAGGTTGAAATGAGCCCCTTTGGTTTGGTAATCAGAAGAAAATTGGATGAGGCCCCCTCAAAATCTCATTCCCCAAATGAGCAAGGCCGTTATGTCATTAAACTCCATGCAGCATTCACACTCGTAGCACGTTGTGTTTGTCAGAAGCAATGCATTTCCTTCTGGGTCCTTTCTTTAAACTGCACTCAGTGAACTTCCCCTTGGACCCAGAATAGGAGGAGACACAAATGGGCATTTCTCACAAGCTTGGGGAGACTTAAGTGTGTCCCCAAACTACCAATGGTTTGCTGATAGTTGTCAATTGAGCAACATGACTTATTCTCATCTGGCATTAAATCAGAGTCACACTTTAGACAGTATTTTAATATTAGCTTCATTTTACCATGTTGCCGAGAACTGCATGGAGGCCTGAATATGGGATTTAATGCTCTTCTCAGAGTGAGTGCACCTTTTTGCTATTGGGGCCACGTCTGTGTGTGCAGAAGGCCTTTGCTCCTAAAAAGCTTTGGGGAGACTGAATGATCATTAAACTATATGAGGAGGATCATTGTTTAATGAAACCCTGCAGGAAATCCCCTTGATAGAATGAATACACATTTAAAATATGACTTTATGTAATTCACCTCTTAGATGATTTCTTTTGCAAGCTTGGATTTTGGTATATCAAGTTGTGTCACATTAAAATGACTGTCAGACCTAAACCTTGGCAAGGTAGCTGTAAGACTGGACGCTAATTCAAAGATCACTCCATAGTCTCCTTGGTGTCCAATACTTAGGGCTTGGCGATTGCAACAGTAAGAATTTATGGTTCGAACGTATTGTAGTTCACGGGTGGTACATCTTTTTATGGATCATTTGAACCCAACAGAAGAGTTTAGACAGATTACATCATCCATGCTACTCTGTTACTTGAAAACAAGTGTTTGGTCTGCTCCAGACACTTCTGGAAACTAGGTATAAACAAGTCCATTTATTTATATGGGTCATTATGTTGGCTAATCTTACTCCTCATGTGACAGAGGAGAAAACAGGTCCAGAGCATTTCAAAGTGACTTTGCAAAGGTCACATGGACAGTTGGTGGAAACCCCGTGCGTGCCAGTCTCCTGATCCAGCGCCCAGCCTTGCCACAGCCGTGTTTGGTCACTAAGTATTTTAGGATTGAAAACGGACCAGCACCTTATGATTAGGCTCCTCTCCTCTGAATAGCGCTCTGTAGCCTTCTTCTGTGCCTTTTTATTGAAATGGAATTGTTGTGCTTTGTAGAATGTGATTAGAAGTATCAGCCAAAGATTTTATCTGTTGTTTTGTGATATTTTTACCATTGATTCTAATTTACTTTTTAACTATTAATTTATTGAAAATAAATTAAGAAAAGAAAGTGTCCTCTTTTTTTTCTTTTTAAAAAGAATTTTATAATTAACTAAGCTCATCCGCCCATTCACTCCACCCTCACAGCCAATCCTCTGGCTTTGAACCACCCCCCACCCCCACTGTCTTTAGTCAAGAAAAATATGCTGTTCTCCAGCAGACCAGGACCTCGGCAGCCTGACCCCATTGTACCCTTCCCTTTACCTTCTACAGTCCCCGAAATGTACTGTACATGCTAATGAAACCATTTCACTTGATGGTCCCCAAACATGCCTCCCCCCCCCCAATACCTCTGACTCTCCCTTTTGATTCCATCTGCTTGTATGAACGTCCCATTCTCACTTGTTTTACTCACCCCTCCATCTGCACGAAATTCCACTTGCTAAAATCTTTCATGGCTGATCTGAAATACCACTCCTTCAGGAAGCTTGACTCATCTTCAACATCATCTCTTACACAAAGATTTCCTCCTAGATTTCCACCACCCCGGCTAATCTCTTCTTTCTTAGAATCCCCTTATGCACTTCACGGCCCTTATTTCCTCTACCCTGTGTTTCAGATACCTGTGCATATTCTGTCCCCCTGCTCCCAGCTAAGGTCTCCTCGACACTGTGACAGTTTCTATCTAACATCTAATCCGCAAGACAGTCCTGTAAGTAACCTCGCTTTCAAAATGTGGAAGGTATATCAGGATTGGCTCTGTTAAGTATCTTCCGCTAGCTTCCCCTAAAAGATGACATTGATATGAAACTTGAACAGGCCGACTTTTACTGAGGAACCCAAAGTCTAAAGCTCTTCTTTAAGGTTTGTTTCCCATAATACCCATTCAGCATGGCCCTTGCAGCACCTGCCTCCTGAGGTTTCGTCACCCAAGCATGGCTTGAGGTGACCAAACTATGTACAAGTTATGCACAACAGGCTTTGTCCTTAAAAAGGCCAAAGATCTTTCATCTTTTCAGGGGTCTGGGAGAATGGACAGCTTAACTGCTGACCCACAGGCCAAAGGTTAGTTGAAAGCCACATCCTTAAATTAAAAGGTCAAAGATAAGGAGGAAATCTAAACTCTCAATGGCAGTGCAAAGTGAGGGATTTAAAGTGGCAGGTGCTACGAAATGCCAAGGAATGAATGCAGTTGAAGGATTACAGGAAGCCAGGCCAAGGTCTCCTGAACTGAACATGCACTTCTGTGACTCTTGGAGTTTGCCATAAGCAGGGACACTTTCCATTTTATTTTCTCTTTATTGCTAACGATTTATCACAAAGAGATTTTAATGAACACTAGATTTTTACACACACCTTGGTTAGGTTAGTAATCTGCCAAATAACATATACTCTAGGAATTTAATTTCCAGAGCTCAAGAATTCCCTGGTAGTCGAATGAAGCAAGCCATTGAATTGCCTTTTCTGGAAAACTTTAAGCATAGGATTATTCAATATGATCAGACTAGAGGCCTGTTGCACGAAAAGATTCGTGCAATAGGCCTGGATCCTGGGTGCCGGAGGAAAACCGGTGCCGCTCTGGCCAGAGCCGCCTTCAGTCTTCGCTCCGCTGCTTCGCGCCTACGTGTGCAAATTAATCGCCATCTTCGCTGATTAGCCCATGGGAGGCGTAGCAAAGGTATGGTCGATTTCAATCTTTGTCTATTATTAGATTAGATAGGATACTTGTACCCAAGTAATTATCCTTCTAGGAACCTACCATAAAGAAATAATCAGAATTATGGTCAAAGCATTATGCGTATGGATATCTACTTCAGAATTATTTACATTGTAAATACAAGTAAAATAAAATTATAATAAGGGAGCCCAGATTCGCTGAGTACTTACTGTATGCCAGGCTGTGCCAATAGCTTCCTGTGTATCAGCTCGCATATAACAGTGTTCCATTGTTAAGATTATGTTGATTAGATGTATTGTTCTCATTTCACGAATGAGGAAACTGAAGTGTAGGAGATTATTTAACTTGCCCAAGTTTCCACTGCAGAGCCAGAATTTGACCCATCATTTTTACTCAAAATCACTGCTTTTCACGACAGATTTAAAAAAAAAAAAAAAAAATAAGTTCTTAAGGCCTTTTGACCCTAACCACCTTAATGGAACCTCGTGGACCAGGCATAATACCCAGTAACACTATTGGGTAAACAAGCACAACCCAAAAAAAACAAAGCCTCCTTTTTGGGAGCCTCATTGCTGTTGGCACATCTTCCACTGCGCTGTGCAACCTAATTTCTGTCTGAGAGGATGGGACCCCCAGCACTTCCTTTGCATACTTTTTCCTTTATCACATAGTTCTTCAGGATAGAAAACCCAGATCACCAGTCAAATTAGTCTGTGATTCTCCCCCTCGGCCCCCTATATTTCAGTCATCGCCTACCTGCAGCAAGCACTTCTTTCACCAGAGGCTTCTATTCTTGGGGGCAGAAGAACATAGTGAAAGGCAGGCATGGCTTCAGAGCCCAGCCTTGTTGCTCACTCAGTACATGACCTCAGTGTGCCGCCCAGACTCCTTTAAGCCACAATTTCCCCACGTGTACACTGGAGCAAATATCTCCATGAGGTGGTTGCTATAAGTATCAAAGATGGCATTTATCTAACTCCCGGCACAT